TGTATCATCAATCATTATCTTTATTGTTTGTTTATTTTCACGTTCAAGAATATATTGTTCTATTTGATTTTACTTCTCGCGTTCATTTTATTCACCCGCGACCTTACTCTGTTTTTCTACCACCCCGCCCCTCTCCGTTCGGTCCAGAGCTAGTCGGCCCGAATTCCTTCAGCGAGCCGTCTTAAAAATTGACACGCGGGACGCGTGTCTGGCGCCCACACTACAACTAATTAAAACTGACGAGCTTGCGAATTCGGAGAGATTCCGAGTGTCGAACTCCAGAAGCGGAGCTCCGACGGAGATAGAATACATCTCCTCCTTTTTCTCTGTGGCGCAATTGGAAAATACGTCACAATATATATATATACTGTACACAACAGTTGTACGCAACTGTACAACTTGTGTTTCTTTAACCGACAACGTAAAAATTATACATAAGAATGTATATAATAGAATGCTGAAAACAAGAACCTAAAGTCACAGACAAGCACGTTAGTATAGTTAAAAAGATACTGCATAGAATTGTTATATAATTGCTAAGTACACACTATTTGTAAGTTTTTACGTATCTACAAGATTTAAATACATTCCACTTCGCAATTTAAATTTTTTGTGGCTTGTCTATTTTTTGTTCATAAATGAACTGCTCAGAAAAAACTTATGATATATTGTATCGTTTACAATATTGTAATATTTGTTGTTTTGACATTATAGGGACTATAATATACGAATGTTATTTAGATCAACAAATAATATTCGGTTCTTATTTGTTTAAAACTAAGCTTTACAAAAACTATCAGTAATATATATAAATATTCAGTGAAGAAAAAAATAACTCTATAACTTTTACAAACACACGTATAACTTAGAAAAGAACTGGTATATTCTAATATGTCGAAACTACTAAACTAGAAAATTTCTTTAATGTGAGAAATACAATTAATATACAGGTTTTTAGTATATGAATTCCTTTATTCTTAGAATAATATAAATGATTCTCTGTAAACGCGTGAATGTCAACATTTATTTTTGATAAAAAATAATTATTATTAAACTAAAGAGAATAGCAATAAATTATATATATATTTTTTCATACTATTTTAAGTCATCAGTCGTAATATGAATACGTAACTATGCAATATAAAAAACTTATCTGTTTTTTATGTCAATATACTACAAAGATTACAGTCCACAGAAATTACGTTTTTTGAGAATTACCTATATCTTTCAGACGTTTTGATCTCGGTTTTAGATCTTCATCAATGAAATAAAAAAATTTTGGTTGTTTTCTTTTAACAGAAAATTTCTTATTGTTAGATATGGAACACTAAATAACTTAAAGACATCGTTAAATAATTATATAATAAAAACACTTGAAAATTAACACTATATTACAATATGACACTTTTCGTTTTTATAGAATAAACTCCTGGAAATGTTGAACAAATTTCTTGATGGCATATCATATGTACATCCTTTGAAAAATAATGTCAATAATCAATTCTATCACGAAGTTTTAAAATGGACATGCATTCTTGGTGGTTTAAAGTGCAAAGAACATATTAATGGAATATTAAACTGGCATTTTGAACATCCTACACAAAACAAGTACGTTATTCTACTTTCCTAATAGCTTGACGTTCGTTGAAGTCACAAAAACGTAATCTTGCTACTGAACTTCTGTTCCATGTAATTGCGACTCTGACATGAGATTTGATTACATTATTTGATACATTATAAACAACATCTATAGAATAGCATTGGTGAATTAGTCTTTAAGTTATATTATATATATTTAAGTACATTAATATATTTTGTACTTGCAGACTTTTGACAAGTTGGCGGAAATGGATATATTGCCAGGGATTAATGTTAGAACTTGTTGAAGATTCCGCTTTGTGGGAAATAATGTTATATACATACGGCACAGGAAAAAAGGAATTCTTTTTCGAATTCTTATCGTGCTTTAGAGAATTCAAGAATCTACGTTACTTTCTCCGTTTTCTTGATCGTAACTCTTTACCACAAAGTATCGGAGATGAAACGAACTTTCCTACTATATTAATATATTTTACAATATTGTTACTTCGCATTTAAAATATATACAATTCGCGCTGTCGAATATAATAATCGAACTTGGACAGAGAATAAAAATAAGGTAAAAGGATTTTTTTACATTCATAAAACTTTTCATACAGTACGATATATATTTTACATAAACTGCATATTTTTATATAATCGATTTCTTATCGAGACGGACATTGTTTTCTCATATTATAGTGTATTATGTATGTTAGTAATTTTACATACTAATTGTAAATGTTATTTGTTTTGATAGAAACGTGAATATTCTAGCAATAATAAATTGTATTATTAACAACATATATGTAGCCAACGATCTGTCATTGGTATGTGGTATGATTTGATATATTTTTTTTACTTATATATGTAAAACAGTACTTCTTCATTTTCTACGTATATACATATGTATTTACATAGGTAAAAATGTGTAGAATTATATTGAGATCTAGATCCGTAATTACTTTTGGTATAACAAAAAAATAACTTTATACTAACAAATGTTGTTACACAATGTAAGGAAATCACACTAAATAATAATAATAGCGCATAATTTTTCCAGATTAGTAACAAACTGAATTTATGGAATCTGTTGGATACACATTACCTGGTAAATGTATTTATAGAATGATTAAAATATTATTTGAATATGGTTTTATAGAATTGCGTTACTTTTTTTGTTTCTTGAGACACAACTTACTATTTATATGTAAATTATTAGGTTTTTATTATTTCTATTAAAAGTACATTTCGTACTTGTTATACATTTTATATACAAGTATACATGATAGTATTATAAATATATTTTGTATTTTGTTTTAGGAACCATTTCATGTGAATGCCATTATAAAAAAAGTTAAACATCGTCGTAGTTTTCTAGTTATAATGCAAAATACACTTCGTTTGAGTCCTCGGTATGTTTTTAATTATAAACGCATGAGTATATTAGCTCTTCTTTGAAGATAGTGTACGTTTTAATTTTTTATTAAAATTATTTACACAATAATTTTAATAGAAGTCTACCGATTTGTTGGGTCCAAATCTTGTGTTTGTTTTGTTTAAATAAGATTTATTGTATGATAACAAAAAAGACAAAAAAGGGTAAATTTGATATCATGCAATATCATTCAATGTTAAGTAAGATTGTATGTTAATAAATCAACAGTATTTCTAAAATGTTAGTGATAAGTTAAAGTCTACTATGTTTGTTCTACACAAAAATGTGTATTCAATTTAGCTAGAATAAAGAATAGTACTTATACTAAAAGTTATTACTTTCGTACTTTTAACTTGTCCTTAGTTTTTTATACTATATATGCAAGTGTGAAAAAAGTTCGTTGTTAACGAACACATTTATATGCATGCATTTGCGTCTTCCATTATTTGTCCTGCGACTAATGTAGAACAACGACCTTTAATGTATATTACAATCGCAATTGTTTCCTAGAAGCACTATCAGTTAAAAGTGGAAATATGATTACATTACTCCGAGTAAGTCACTAATAGTACATAATTTTTAACCAAGAGAAGACAAAGAGAGACTATCTTATTGTACTTTTTTAAGGCCATTCTACATAAGACGCAGACGCAGGTCGCAGGCCGCTGATCTCGATTAAGTGACCAATCACATAAGTCGATTGGCTGATTTGACAAACGTGAATGGTCAATACCGCGAGATCAGCGGCCTGCGATCTGCGTCTGCGTCTTATGTAGCCTTATGGCCTTTAGGGCCAAAGTATAGATTTTTGTATACTGGGTACGCATAAGGGTGCCAGTACATAAAGCACGGAAACGCGGAAACGCGGAAGTCAAAAGTAACTAGACTTTACTAGATTTCTGTGTTTCCGTGCGTTCCGTTCCGTCTGTTTTAATTACCTTATATTACATGGAGCTTAGACCATATATACTTATAGACACGGCCTGTAGATATGAATCCACGAGTCGAGGTGAAGCAAAGATAATATCATCTACGTGACGTCACATGTGGGCATTTCA